CCAAAGCCCATTATTCTTTGTTCACAGAAGTCAGCCCATCTGTATTGATCTTTGAAACAGTATATATATGACCCATTTGTCGTCTCTTTTTAATCACCAACCTCTTCTTTGACTCGATTGCAGCCGTTCCTATGAAATTGTGAATCTTTCAACTTGACTATTTCCCTTTTGTTCTTCAAACTCGTTTCTGCGCATGAGNAATGTTCTTCATAAGAAAAACGATTACATTGCTGTGCTCTACATAACAGATCACTCCCAGTACTCCATTATATGACCTTGTCCGCTTTGTGTTTCTTTTTCACCCCAATGTAAATTTACGATATCTTCTGTACCCGTTTGAAAAATGCGTTCTTATCCTCTCCGTACTATTAACTTTTTTCTCTGTCGTCATTTTTTAACATTGTTGTACATGTAATCATGCGCACTAGCATGCTTCACGGGCTTCGTAAAATAAACCGTTATTATTATTATTACATTCTTTTCAGTACTTTGTCTAACTCAAAGTTTTTGATCTCAACATCCTCACCTTCACTCTTTCTTCTGACTTCTTTTGTTTTCTTCTCTCACCTTTTTTCGTGCTCTCTCTTTACGTTTCACTCACTCTCACATAATTGCTGTTCTCTCTGACCAAAAACCGTACATCAAATCTCGCTTTATTGCTGCTGACTTCCAAATCTACTCTTCGCAAATATGCTATCTTTTTATACTCGGAAAACCTCAGCTCCTCAAATATCTCACCCAATATCACCTAGGTAACTTCTAAAGGTTTTCGTATGACCTAGAGGTTTATTCTTTCGTGCCAGTTACTTTTACTATTCTCACACGTTTGCAGCCAAACAAAACACAGATGCCCAAACCTCATCGCGTCAGTGTGGTGATAACCATGCCGCGCTGACTATCGCGTTAATTCCTCTTCCCTCGGTTTCAGCCTTACTCTTGACGCCATCTTTTAAAGAAAACCAAGAACAGAGGCTACTCAATAGAACTCTATATAAAGTATTGAAGATTGGTTCTCTTAGCTCGGGTAAACTGAATTCTACTTCATCTGTTCGCCGAGCTTGGCAATTTATTTGAAAACGTTTCAGCACCAGTTGAGGTGACATCACAAGCACTAATGATGTCACCTCGGCTGTAAATGTAACTTTTGCAAGCAAATTGCCAAGCTCGGCGAACAGGCGAAATAGATCTTTTTACCTCTTTAATCCTATTCTACCAACGTAAATCTGCTTGCTCAAGCTCCTATTATCCAGGCCTTTCTAGTGGTCCTGTAAACGCTACACAATCCTCCTGTCCTCGCAATCGGATGCTTTGTGGCTCGCCCGGAGGCTAACATGTACAACCCTTCTCCAATCGGCACCCACCTGGTAGAACCCTCCAAATAATTCGCTAGTTTGCCTCCTTCGTGTCGGATCATTTACACTACCCTGTTTCCCTGGATGATGGTTTACATTATTATTGTCATTTCGCTAAAACGAAAAATTATACGATAACGTCTCACTAAGCGACCAATTTTCTCCCTCCGTCTGTGATGCCACTTCATCAAACAGTCAACTTGGCAGGGAAAAGAACACACTTCTTATTGTGTATGCAAACAATCATTTATAGTTACTTATTCTTATACTTTGGATCATTTAGTTCTTCCCATTCTTCCGCTTGATAAAACTCCAATCCTCGGAGGACTCGAACTGAAACTGATCAACCCACGGGCCAACGGGAGCTCTAGGGGGAAATGTTACTCCCACCGCGTAGTAAACGTATGGAACAAGTTACCACCCACAATAGTTGCATCCACTACTGCTCTACCGCTTAAACAGAGACTAGAGAACTGTTGGGACAAGGTGTTCCCCAAATGTGACTAGCAATAGTTTCACAGTCACTACCCGCATCCCCCTTATGTAGCTGCCTTTCGATTTCATTGTCACTTGTTTACACCACACGTCTCACTCAAGAATACCACATCACTTTACAGCCCCCGGGAAGCTCTCATGGCAGGCTTAACAGTCCGCTGAATTGCGACCGCCGTCAAAGGATTGAGACTGCTGATTCCCCGAGGGCGATCCTGTTCTTCATCTCTTCTCTTGTATGTACAACATCCAACACACAACTGTGGAAATACCCGTCAGTCGTAGTACAGTGTGAACCATCAGCTCACAAGTCCAAGATCCTAGAGGTTCACTGCCGAAGGCTTGGGGTCTACAACCACAGTGGACAATTTGGCTCCGGCAATAGTTGCTGGGCGCGGCTATACTCGCCGTTTTGGCTACATGCGTCCGCATTCCGGACCAGGTTGAGGATCACACTCCCCGCTTCACCTACAAGGTGTCTAGCGTGCAGTCAGTCCCACATCAAAGCGACCAACGCCTAAATAATCTAAATCACTCCATTGTCGATCGAAGCCCCGAACCCAAATGAATGTGCTCTCAGAAGCAAGCTGTTTTGCAGCTGACAGAGAAACATGTATTTGACAACTGTATGAACTCACTGTACTCCTCTATCCCATTCATTTCTATCCGCGAGTCTTCATCTCCTCCCTTTCCTTGTCTCACAGACCGTCGATCCGTGATTTCCTCCCATAAATTCCGCACGTCGAATCTTCTCGATACAAGGTTAGCTCTTCCTTTAATTTCCGTTGACATGCTTACTCAATTTATTCCTCCATCTTCCACTTCTACGTTTGTGACCTTGTCCGCTTTGTTTTCCGTTTGCACTGCGGTTCCATTCCGGTCCCCAGCCGTCTCCGTTGTGTGTATCTTCTAACTGGACCTTCTATATATCTGCACCTTTGATATACATAAGATTATTTTGAACATACGATCATGCTTTGTGCATGCTTTACGGGCTTCGTGAAATATACATTATTATTATTCGTCCTGTTGGGGCCGTTTATGCAGCTTCCGGAAATAGTTCCGTCCACACTGCATCTAGACGGCCCTTAAGCTCCTCAACTGAGGCGGCTGCAACAATCGAGGCCGGTAACCTATTCCCAGGGTTTATAACCCTATGAGCGAAGATAGCCGCCCGGATACCCCTTAGTTCTCTCAGGTTTTTCCACATTTGGTCCATTTCCTAGAAGAGCGAGGTTATTATTCCTGGATGGAAGCTGCGTTCCCGTGCTGGATAGACCCTTTAGTTGCTTGAAAGCCTCTATGAGGTCCCCTCTTAATCTTCCTCTGGTCAAAAAGAACAGGTTAAGTTCTCTTAGCCTGCCATAGTAGTTCAACCCTTCCATCCCTCTGATAAGCTTAGGGAAGCTCCTTTGTACATTCTCTAGTATCACCGAGTCCTTCACGAGGGATGGCGACCAGACTTGCATACGGTACTCTAAGTGAGGCCTCACGAACGCTTTGTAGAGCGGGAGAAGGACTACACTCTCACTTGAGACCACAGTTCTCAGTAATTGATGCAGCGCTCTATTTGCCTTTGTCGCAGCTAAAAGACACTGCTTGGCTGGTTTGCAGGTCTCGTGTATGAGCACTCCCAGAACCCTTGTCTGCCATGTTTGGGTTATTTACTGAGGTTTATCTAGGTTCAGTAGCCGAGGGTGGTTGGCCTGCCTGGAATAGAAGCTTCCTGCGCTTATTGGTGTTCAGTGGTAGCTCCCATTCCTTCACCCAGTTTCGTAAACGATCTGGATCTTGGTGCGTTTGCGCTGAGGTGAGGTCTCCAACTAGCTTAACATCATCGGCAAACAAAAAACACGACCCCACGAGTTCTTGGGGCAGGTTGTTCATATAGATGAAGAAAAGTAGCGGCCCAATACCGATCCCTGAGGGACGCCACTCCATGCTGCTGCTCTACCCGACCTAACCCCATCCACCTTAACATGGAAGGTTCTTCCTCGCAAGTATTCATCGATCCACCGAAGGATGCCGAGGCTAAAGCCAAGTGCTTGTGTTTTTCAGATTAGAAGACGATGGTTGAAGGATTCCAGTGCTTTCTGAAAGTCAAGATAGCACACTCCGACTCCGTGTCCCTTATCCACTCTGGCCGTAACCTCGTGAAGAAATGATAGTGAGTTCGTCAAACATGACTTCCCTCAGAAAAGCCGTGTTGCTTGCCCGATAGCAAATTGTGAGTTACTAGGTGCTGCGCCATCCTGTCTTTCAATATTCTTTCCATCACCTTCAGTGAGACCGGTGTGAGGCTGACCGGTCTGTAGTTTCTAGGTTCCTCGGTGCAGCTCGCTTTATGTACGGGGATCACGTCAACCACTTTCCTATCTCCCGGCACCGGTGCACTCTCAAGTGGGTCACTCAAGGCTAACGCTAGATGCTTCATAATCACACCGTGGATGTTGTCAGACCCTGCAGATTTGTGTTTTTGCAGTCACCCCCAGCACCATCTTCATCTCCTCCGGTTGAAAGAGTGGTTCCTCCATTTCCGGAACCCGGACAGTATAGAAAACTGGTGTAGACCCCCATGTACGTCAACCAATTCGCACTTGAGTGACGTGTAGCCAAAACCGATACAAATCCCGAAATAAAACACGATTGATCCGTAATGTTCCTCGGTATTGAATAAGAGAAATCATTACAAATGTACAATAAAGCAAACCTCAAATATGCGGCCAAAGGCACTCAAACAAGCAAGCCAAATGTGATGTCCAGAGAGAGCCAAACAGTCGCCCACCTTCTCTGACCACGCAAACTTCAAATGTGCCGGGCATCGAATTAACAGATAACAATAATAATAATAGTAATAGCTTATTCCTCGGTTTACATCGAGAAGCGTGAAGATAAAGAATAATGTATGATGTTTGTGATTGAGAAATGTCAATAGAGAAGCAACACACAGATAGAGTTATGTCACCATAAATCATCATGGGTTTGGAAGGATTTTCAAAATTCAACATGAAATACACCCAGCACCGAGCTGCCACCTATCACGACGGAGGTGTCGCACCACATCTGCACTCGAGCTCTACTGGTACACGCAGGTGCCTGTCGACTAGCATCAGATAGGTTACGCACCACACGCGTAAATTTCAGCATCTGCTAAACATGGACATCATACGCCCCTCTGAAAATTCATGCGGGTCTCCTCTACACATGGTCCCCAAAAATTCGTCCAAATCTGGCGCCCATGTGGAGACTATCGCGCACTCAACGGCCCCGGATAGGTACCTGATTCCCCAAATCCTGGATCTCAGGTCAGATCTAGCCGGTTTAACTCTTTTCAGCCGCATCGATCTGGTTCGCGCATACAACCAGATACCAGTAGCCGAAGCCGACATCTCCAGAACAGTCGTAGTCACACCGTTTGGACTATTGGAATTCCTTCGAATGACAATCAGTTTAAGCAAAGGTGCACAGTCCTTCTGACGTTTCACTAACAACGTGATTAGAGGTTCAGACAATGTTTTTGGTCACTTAGACGATATCCTAGTGGCTAGCTGTGGTGATCGTAGAAGTAAAAATAGTGAAAATACGCACAGAATTCAGGACACGAACTACGCAATAGTAATCACGGAACACGAATTAGAAATCCGNCCCGCTAAATCATTGGTGAATAAAAGTTAGAGTAACCGTTCAAGAACCGAACCTTGAGGCACTCCACTGGTCAATCGAATGACTTGAGAACTGGCCTCCCCCTACCCTCACTGAGAAGGATCTATTTATGAGGAAAGCGAATAATCCTCTATGCAGATTTCCTGTGGTGATTGTAGAAGTAGTAGTAGTAGTAGTTACGCACAGAATTCAGGACACGAACTACGCAATAGTAATCACGGAACACGAATTAGAAATCCGGTGGCACTAGACCGCATTGGCTCTTGTTTAATGCATCACATTCTCTATACCGGACCGTCTGTCGCTCCAATTCTAACTCTGTAGACCGTAATGTATTTAATTCTTTAGAAACTCGCAGCCCGTGTCTTCAAAATTCTGTTGTACCTACCTTATCTTGCTCCTCTATTGTTTTCTGGGAACTACTATCAAAGTAGTGAAAATACGCACAGAATTCAGGACACGAACTACGCAATAGCAATCACGGAACACGAATTAGAAATCCGGGGGCACTAGACCGCAATGGCTCGGACTCGCAATAACCCGCAGAATCGAGACGCGAGGAAAAAGGCCACAAGACAGGCGATTCACAAATTTGTTTATTGAAGGAAATGAAAGTGAATATACATGTGCACAAAAGAAGATCATTGGTTACCTTAGTGTCCACCGAACATATTGCATCACATCTTACGTCATACTGCTCTTCTCTGCATTGTATCTGGTTGGCTGGAACGGTTCACCAATGACGAGTATCCGGAGGCTGTGCACGTGCTACTGGCGTCAGCGCTCAAGGTCGATTGACTACCAATGTCCGGAAACTGTACCGCGCTGCTCCAGAGCAGGCGTAATCTCGTAGATCCAAATCACCACACTAGCTCATCATTTGCGGAACATCTGGCACAGCACGGTGTCACAGTTAACGCAAAAATATGTGTCTTCGGTGCCTTCAACATTGATCTCCTCGATCATCGCGTCACAGTCACTGGTATCGAGCCACTAACTGACAAAATTCAGGTGGTGATAGAATATCCGGAGCTCTCCACAGTCAAGCAGCTCCGACGTTTCGACAGTTTGGTCAGCGTTCATCGTCGTTTCATCCCTAAGTGTTCACAGCTTATGCAGCCACTCACTGATCCACTTGGGTGTAAAAAAGCCTTTATGTTCACATAAGCCTTCAATGCGTTGAAACGGGCAATCCGCAACGTCGCCACGCCACGCCACGCATCAGCTAAACTGTGGATGGTACGTGCTTTGGCATGCTATGCTTGTAGACGAAACCGGTTTAGGTAGACGTTTTTTCTGCGCTATATTCCTGAATGAGAGTGGTGAGAGCTATAGAGCTGTCGTGGGAGCCATGAAAGCTATGTGCCCAGTCTTTGCACAATGCAAGACTATAGTAGTTGATCGTAGCTTGGCTCAGTACAACGCGTTTTCGGAATACTTTCCGTCCTCTGACGTGATCTTTTTTTGTTTCCATCTCGTTAAGGATATGGAGAAGAAATGTAACCAGCTATCTGGTATAGCAACGTTCAAAAAGCAACACATCTTTCAATGGATGTGGAACATGGTGTACTGCGATAATGGGGTATCGTTTCATAGGTTTCTAGCCATCGTAGAAAGTCGTAGCACAGAAGCAGGCGTTTATTTACGCCGAACTTGGTTACCATATCGAGAGCAGTGGGCAGGTTTTGCCGTGAGCACTAGGTTGACTTTAGGAAACCTAACTACCAACCGAGTGCAGACCGAAAATAGGCATATCAAGACAGACTTGCCTCCCCGGTCTTCATTAGTGAATGTATTTAAGAAAGTGCTATAACGAGTAAGGCCATTTGAAGTGACGCATGGAATTCGCCTTGGTAAAGATTCCATGAGGGGGTATCCGACTCCCAGCGGCATACAGTCGTTTAGACCGTTGCTCATACTGGCAACACCATTTGCGCGGAATATATTAATAAGTAACTGGAAGTCATGTAAGATTAAATGAATTGTTCACTAGAGAGGGTTCTTCATGGTCGTGGATAGTAAGTTTCAGCATTGTATTTAAAATAACTTTTGAAGGTTATATAGAAGGTGCTGTTCTTATTGATGGAGTTTAACTGGTTTTAAAATTACACTATGGGACACTTTACAAAACTGAGAAAAAGTTAATTTTATTTCGAATTTTTCGATGATCTTTGGCCGAAAGTTTCAGAACAGTGATTAAAATAGCTTTGACAGCTATATGGAAGTTGCAGTTCTTATAGGTTTAGTATGGGCACATTTCCCTACCGAGAGTTTGTAGTAATCGAAATAGTATTGAATTTAGGAATACCAGAATCCGTACTGTGCTGCTCAGAACTGATTTGGCTCCAACCCGAACTGCGGACACCAATGAAATACACGAGGAATTGATAGCAGCAAATGCTTATGTTTATTGATAGAATTAGAACATGTTTTATAGAAGGTAATAGCTCATATGATTGGTTGANTTGCGCCGACGCATCAAATGTACTAACTCGGATGTCACGTTCGCCCAGTGTACCATTGGTCGAGCTTCCTGAACGGTGATTGGATGACATGAAACTGTGCCTAGTCGTGCATGGATTGCGATCGCGGAAGTCTGAACCACCAAAACTCTCTTCCCTCAAGAGTGCCTCATTAATCTGGCTCGCCTGACCGCTAGACCTGCGGACTGAA